CGAATCAAAACAAACATAGTGTAGTAATAGAATTTCGACTAGCACAGGGTACGTTAATCGTTTGCTTGGGACCAATAGGCTACTAAAGTGGTGAGCCAATTTAAAATCGTTAGTTTCGTATTGATTGTTGCTACTACTGCATTGTACCAACAATCAATACGAAACTAAAGATTTTAAATTGGCTCACCACTTTAGTAGCCTATTGGTCCCAAGCAAACGATTAACGTACCCTATTCTAGTTGAAATTCTATTACTACACTATGTTTGTTTTGATTCGCTATGAAAGTTTGACAGATAACATCAGGGGTGTGTGGATTCATGCAGAACATGCAGGGGTGAGTGAAATAGCTTGGGACTGCTTGGGACCGTTGTTCTGGTACTGAGTGAGCCAAAAATAATAATGATTTTCTTCGGGACCCAGTGGTCTTAGAGTTACCTCTATGGTTGTCTCACGTTCTCGGCGAAGAAGGTTTTTTTTTTCGTGATTTTGATGTTGGCAGTAGACAGCTTCTGCACGATTTCGTTGGAGATTTTCTTTGCTACCTGAGTAGGTTCACACAAAAAATAAAAATTGTTCATTTAAAAATAATGCATTTTCAAATTAAAAGTCTCCCAACTTTTGTAGTTTCAACTGACAATATTTAAAATGAAAGCAACATTTTTATTTCAAAAGTTTTTCTTTCACTTTCTACTCGTCATTTTAAAAAGGCATATTGTCAAAATGAAAATTGTTTAACTGTCAAAAATACCATTGATAAATGTTGGGTTGTTTCGTTTTTTCGTGCACCACAGCCATCACACGTGAAAAAAAAACATTTGCCCGGGAAAACAAATTCAGTTTGCTCGATTTCCAAGCTTAAATTCAAATAAAAAGTTGATGTTTTTCTATTTAATTATAATTTATTTAAAATGTATTCGCAGGTTCAGTGGTCAATGGAGTACGAGAATGCGAAAGCGATGGAATCTGGTTTGGCCAATAGTGACCTATTTCGAAATGTGCAACTGGAGAATACAAGGTAAGTTTCTTTCTGGTTTTAAAGGTGGGGTGGATTAATTGAAGGTGGACATTTGTTGCAGATCTAGAATAATTCCTGAAAAATACGAAGCAACTTGCAGTATTTTCGGTGTTAACACCATCGAAGTCACTATGGATGCCATTGACGGTGGCTTTACGTGGAAAGCTTTCCTCTAGCCGATCCGGTGTAACATCCAGAGCAATCGGAGGACCAGACAATACTATTAGTAGCGTCCGGCGTGCAGCTTGGCAAACATGCAACCACAAACCACTTCGTTTGTGATGCAACGGTACGTCCGTGGAATATCTTCTATGATTAGTCATGGTGATAAACCTCGCATCAGAACCATAAGCTCAACGAAACCTGCCAAGACCGATCGCAAATTTCTATTAGATTCAGCATAACCGTTTGTTACGAAGCGTCATGTTGTATTTAACTTGGACCTGAAGTACTTCCTCAAAGATTACCAGTTAATGAGATATACAAAATCATACCATTCAAATTATTTATAATAAAAATAAACCGAAATAAAAAAAATATGATACCAATATTTTAAAGAATTTAAAATGAAAAGTAGGTGTTATAATATTAAAGTTGCCTGTTTTTAATCTGAATTTTTATTATTTCAAACTCAAAATGACCCACTTTATTTCATCCATACCAAACTTTCAAGCCAAAATGCATGTTTTGAATATAATAAATCCACTTTTTATTTCAACCCTGTCGAGCTTTTCTTTTGACAGTAGGACAATTTATTTTGAAAGTCTCAACTTTTAAAAACAGTGATCAGAAAACTTTTGATTTGATAATTCTTTGACTTTTGTTTTGAATGCTAACGACTTTCTACCAAAAAGAACCAATGCAAACTTTTAATTCTAACAATGTTTTTTTTTTAATTTTATTAGCTATAATTCTTTGTGTGTTGCAGGAAGATTTTCGTGAATTCTCTACTCCGAGTTTTATTTTGCAGTTGCGTTTGTTTATCTTCGTGTGCATGTATGTATGTATAGTTGTCACCGGAAAAGCGCATGCTTTGTTTTGATGTTCACATTCCACTGAATGATTGATGCATTTGATTTAAATTAAATGAATATTCAATGGGCATTCTAAAAGTGACACTCCCCCGAGCACTCCCCTAGACATAGGTCCTATAAGAATGCATAAACGGCATGTGTGACCATCCCGACCAACCGTTCGTGAAACTTCTTCACAGTTCTTTATACAGAAATAAAGATTTATGTCGGCAATTCTTTACTTTAAATTTTCTATGAATTCGATGTACACATTTAGAAATCTTTATTGATCGATACTTACATTTAAGATTATTTTTTCATCGGTCATATGATAGTAATCTATAAAGGTGCCATACTAAATTTCTTTTAATTTTGGTATTTCACATGGACTTTAGTATTCTTTACAAATATTCATCAATAAATATTTAAATACTGATATCGTCGTAACTTAGAACTTTGACAAAGAACAACAAAAATTGCCATCGATGCACATTTATAATCTCCTTGTTATCGATTTGCATCGCTGGTTAAAGAGAGTTAGAGACACACCAGGTGACAGATGGCAATGTTTATATTATTTATCAACATATTCGGCATTAAATCGGAAGAAGCAATCTGCCGGTAAATGAACGAGAAGACCGATGGCCGCGACGCAGCAAATATTCACCATTGTAGTTTTTCAAGTTTACGTCTATATATTGGGATGGTGGGATTCTCGGCATTTGGAACCCAATGAGGAAAATTGATACCTTTTTGACCTCTATTACACCTACATGGCTGACTGGTTGATGGTTATGATAAATAAATATTGAATTCATGTATGAAAAGATTTACAGAAATTTCAATACACCACACACTAGAGTGTGTTTGCCTGTCGTTGATAAGCTCATTCACAGCAGCCCCGGACCCGAGGATTAGCAACCAACAACGAAATCAGTACACCCCAGATGGCATGGGATCGAAACTACACGAAACGAAAATCAATTATTTTATTCATGTGTTTCACTTATACATTTTTGCCAAAACATCAGCTTTATACATTCCATAAGACCAACCGCATAGGTCCTATAAGAATGCATAAAAGGTATGTCGGTCACATTTATACATTTTATTTGACACATGATCATCATTTACTTTTTGCAAGGCGTCTGCTTATTAGTTGACTTATACATTTGATGAATAATCAGCAATAGAAATTTGCCAAAAGGTATAAGGAGATTTCTATCTGTGTAGAAATTATGCAGACAAAAAAACACAAATAAAATCAGCAGTTGGATATCGATATTTTGATTTTACAACAGAAATCGATATTATGATCTGGCAACACAATCGATATTTTAACATTGGTAACGATTGGTAGCAATATTTCGAGAAAGATCTTTATAAACGATCACTATTAGACTTTTAGCATCTTTACAATGGGCCGTATGAATAAAAAGAGTTTACTTTACTTTCCCGTGCTTTTCTTACGGGAAAAGTAAAGTAAACGCTTTTATTCATACGACCTAATTATTCATGAAATGGTGACGATCGCTATCGATTTTTCTTATGAATGGCTTTGAAGATCGATGTATAGAAAATTAAAGAATATTGACGAAATGGTTGGTCGGGATTTTACATTCCATTTGAAACATGATCTTCATTAACTTTTTTGCAAAACGCCTGCCTACTAGTTGAATTATACATTTTATGAATAATCAGCAATTTAAATTTGCCAATCAAGGATTTCTTCGGGTTCCCACCTTTAACTGAACACTTGGTACTCAGCTTTACGGCTATAATTCTAGTACTGAATTGAATCGCATAGCCCCTCGTTATTTCTTTATTTTTTTCATGTTCGCTTGTTTACGTCTACGCAAGCCTTTCCGTCGTCAAGCGATACGCACACCACGACGCATTTCCACACATGCATCATATTGAGCCATATGGGCACTGTAGCTCTTTACTCTTATTGTAAAATCTTATAAGCATCTGTCAGTCTGTGCGTGAAACATGACGGCCTTTGTCCTATCTCTTCACTCCAGCGAAAAATCTCATAAGAAACTGTCAACTGATGTGTGGATAGCCGTTGGTAAACGCCAATCAAACGCTTTTGCTTACTGTATTGTGTTTCGCGAAGGGAGCATAAAAATCCTTTGTTTGAATCGATCGTTGCTTCATGCTTCGCAAATGAGAAACACCTGACACACGAGTATGTGTTGGTTATAGAGGCTCTAGTCTGGTGAAACATCGTGTTTAAGCCTAGATTGGCGCCGTTCAAAAATGATGATACTTGGGAACATGCATCCTAATTATGAAAATCAAACAGTTTCTTCTTACTTTTGGGACCAGCTAACCACGTTAGAAACATTTTTCGAATGCAAACACTTATTTTACAAATTGAAACTCAATTCTAGTGGTTTGTTCTAATGATCCCGCAATACGTTTCATTGATAACAAAACCAAAACCAGCTGAAAATTTTAAAATCGTCACAAACGGCGATATTTTCGTATTTGACTTGCCGCGTCACTGTCAATAATTATTGCAATTAATATTTCAGAACAAAATAACATAAAATTATGGAACGTTTTATTTGTTTGTCCACCAGAATCCTTAGCAACTGCATCAGAATGAAAGAAAACCAGCCCCTCTCCAACAACAACACACACGCACACACACACTCCCAAGTGCGCAAGGAGAAGGAAAACATTCCAGTCCAACAACAGAACAAGCCAGCAAAATAAAATGTATTGTAACAGGTGTGGCAGTGTGGATTCGTAGTCTCTTTCGTTTTGCCGCTGTTTGAATGGTTGACAGAGTGTGACGTTACTCTACCATCCTTTGAAACAGCGGACGAACAAAATAGACGACAAATTCGCTGGGCCTCACCTGTTTACACTCATTGAGCAAAGCAGTCGGTCGGTCCTCGGTCGTTCGCTCTGGATATCTGAATCCGCTTTCTGCTCCATTTTTCGTTCTGTTTCGTTTTTGATTCGCTCCCGAACGGTTGTGTTTTAGCGCGCTCTCTGCCTCCGGCTTGAATTGTCAGTTTTTTTAGATCTCCCGGTTGTTGTTTTTTCCTGTGAAGTGTGCTGTTTCACGTTTTGTTCCCGGAAGTTTTTCCAGTGCGATTGTTCGGTTTGTGTCGAAAAAAAAGCGTTCGCCAGGATCTTCTGATAAAAAATTCCAATCGGAAAGTGTTAGCTAGAAATTCGATCCGTGACCTGCCCGAGTGAAACCGTTCGCCCAAGGAATAAAAGAGTGATCGACGAGCATTTATTGCGAATTTTTGGTGTTGATTTTACTGTGCCTCAAGAATCTAAATCGGAAGAGAAAACTAACCTTTCCATCAAAGATGACTTCCACCAGCTTCACCATTGGATTCGGAGACAACTCCAAGAGCTCTAGCAAGTGAGTACCTAACAAACTTTCTAAACCTACTGGCGAAGATTGGCATTGGGATTCGGAATTCCTATGTTTCCGCTGATAAGAACAATCGAGAACAAACTATTCTAGATTGGTCTTCTACTCTTTTTTGTTTGCTCTAACTTTAATTACTCCCCGATGCGAGAAGCTTATTATAGCTTATTACCGTCGTAACCAGCAGGCGAAAAGCCGCATCGAGGCATGCTTTTCTTTATTTTTCGAGCTCGTTGGATCGCTGGAAATGCTTCCTGTTTTTGCGTGATCTCTCTCCATTGTGCCGGGCTGGGATCGTCGTCCGCCTGCCGGTCGGTCAAAGTGGTTAGAATAGCTTCACTCACATTTTGCTCTTCATTCTTTTGGGGCTGGTGGGCATCCTATATAGAGCACCACCACCAAGAACGACGACGACGATATCGTGGTGGTTCTTTACCACCAAGACGCAGAGTAGGTAGATCAAGATCGGGAAGAGGAGGGAAGAACATAAGGCGAGAAATGTAGAGCCAGTCCTCGCGCGCGCACCGTGTCTGGTTCTGGTCTGCCTCTGCGCCGCCGTTCTCGATTATCGTGTTGCACATATTCAATGTTTCGGGGTGGGCAAGTGATATACCTTCCTACCTACACACTCGTCCGATCCGAACGCGAACGGAAGGGCAAAAAATAAACTCAATCAACCCTACTAGGAACCAAACAAAAGAGTTCATTTTTCATTGAGGCCGGAACCCTGCAAGTCTGAGCGAATTCTGAAAATGTTTGCTGCTCGCGTTGTTGGGCAGAATTTTTTCTGTATTTACGTTAATGTTTTGATTGCTTACTCGGCAGTCGTTATTAGCTGCTGGATTTGTTGTAAAAAGCACTCTTCAACCCTGTTTATGTATCTCGTTAGAGATTACTTCAATTTCTTCGTGTAAGGCATACTGAGGACGTTCGTTAATTCTAATATCATTTAAGATTCACACGGAATCAACACAAAATTCCTTTTGAAGTTCGGCAGGAAATGCCATCTGATTCTAACTATCTTATAGAATGCATGAATGATTTCGAATATCACTCTATTGGAATAACTTATGCAAATTCACCTGAAATATTTTCGAATTAGAGTCAACTCTTCACAACACGATGTCCACTAACTCGATATCGGGCTAACGAACCATAGTAAAAATGAAGTTCATGGCTGTTGCCGAAATAAAACCCGTCGCACTAATTCGATAGTAGTATATTTATTATATCAGCTTCAAAGCTGCAAATCATAGGATTAGTTAAAAATTATAATCATCTTCTTCTTCTTCGCATTCAAGCTTATTGCATATCGCATATTAGCTTATTGCGTGCTCTGAACTTAGTGTTCTAGATGCACTTTCACAGTTGTTAATTGAGAGCTTTCGATGCCTGTACCATTTTTGCATTGGTATAAATGTGTGGCAAGTCCAATCATACTTCTATGCCCAGGGAAGTCGATAAATTTTCCAACCCGAAAAATTCCTAGACCGGACCGGGAATCGAACCCAGCCACTACCAGCATGGTCTTGCTTTGTAGCTGCGCCTTTACCGACTGAGCTAAGGGAGGCGCCAAATCATTATAATCATACATTGCGGATAATTCAATCTTACAATTTAGTGCATTACTTCAATTTTAAGGTTAGTAACCTTCACAACATTAGCTTTGTCCACGAAAAGTGGGTTTCAAATTCTAGAATAACAAATTATAGTTAGTTCACCACACTATAATAGTTTAATACTAGGCAATCATGTGCATTCTTACAATGTTCAGCACTCTTAGGTAGAAATCAAATTATTTAATAAATTTACAGTCCCTCCACTAAATACAAAGTCACCGTGGATGCTCATACAAGTTGTGCTGATGAGTCCGTTTGACGGATCGATCGTCCCTAAGCCTGGCTGATCATCGGTGACAGCGGGTGACGTTTTTGTTGGACGCGTCGCCTCAGCGACCGAGTTCCCAGTTTCACCCTTGAGGTAGATCGGCAGACTTACGGCAACATCCTTCGCCGGGTGCATCTTGCCATCGGCCAAAACTGTACGGATCTCTCCAACATCCAGCAAAGCAATCTTCGTTACCGGTCGTCGCTCCACTCGTCATCTGGTCCACTCGCTTCGTCTTCCTTCACCGTGATGAGGACCAAGTCACCAATCCTGATCTCCCTCGCTACTTCTTCGAACCACTTCGGCTGCCGACGAATGACTGGTAGATATTCTTTCAGCCACCGTTTCCTGGAGATATCCAGTTGCTGTTGGATATCCACCCACGTTTTCTGTAGATTCTGCTGCTGATAGCGAATGTTCCGGCTTGGTTCCATGACTCCGCTTGAACTCCCGAGCAAGAAGTGGGTCGAAATTAGTGCTTCGGATTCATCCGAGTCTAACGGCAAGTACGTCAAAGGTCTAAAGGGTGATACGGTCAAAATTTGGTCAAGGGAAAACGCGTGTAAATCGGTGAAATCGTTTATTTAAAAAATCAAATTAAATTTCTTTTTCAAGTTCAATTAGTATAAAATTCAGGAAAAATATTCAGTTAGGCTTCCGCTTTTCCAAATCCGAATTGCCGGGCCTTACGCTTGACCCCTGCCATCAGATTTTGTACAGCCACCTTGTCCACCTTCTTCGCCGCAGAAAGCCAGTTTGCCTTGAACTGCTGCTCGCCCTTAGCAGTTTTTTTGGTCTTCTTTAGGTTCCGCTTGACAATAGCCCAGTATTTCTCAATTGGGCGGAGCTCTGGCGTGTTGGGAGGGTTCTTGTCCTTGGGAACCACCTGCACGTTGTTGGCGGCGTACCACTCCATGGCCTTTTTACCGTAATGGCAAGATGCCAAATCCGGCCAAAACAGTACGGAACAACCGTGTTTCTTCAGGAAAGGCAGCAGACGTTTATTCAAACACTCTTTCACGTAAATTTCTTGGTTGACAGTCCCGGAAGCTATGAAAATGCTGCTTTTCAAGCCACAGGTACAGATGGCTTGCCAAACCAGATATTTCTTTGCGAACTTTGACAGTTTCATGTGCTTGAAAACATCTGCTACATTTCCCCTTCCTTTTGCCGTATAAAACTCCTGTCCCAGAAGCTGCTTGTAGTCGGCTTTGACGTAGGTTTCGTCGTCCATTACCACGCAGTCAAACTTCGTCAGCATCGTCGTGTACAGCCTCCGGGATCGCGCTTTGGCCGTCGTATTTTGTTTATCATCGCGATTTGGAGTCACTACCTTCTTGTAAGTCGATAGTCCGGCTCGTTTTTTGGCTCGATGCACGGTTGTAGACGATACACCCAGCTTATTTGCGGCATCTCGGAGAGAGAGGTTAGGGTTTCGCTTGAAACTACCGGCAACTCTCTTTGTCGTCTCAGCGGCTTCCGGTTTTCGATTTCCCCCCGATCCAGACTTCCTGGCTGTCGACAAACGTTCCCCAAACACTTTAATTACATTTGTAACGGTTGATTTGGCAACTTTTAGCGATTTTGCCAACTTTGCGTGCGAGTAGCTCGGATTTTCGCGATGCGCGAGCAAAATTTTGATACGCTGCTCTTCTTGCTTGGACGGCATTTTGACAACTGAAGAGTGAATTCCAAAATCATAATAGGAGCAACATTCTACACACACACACCTTCAAAATGAGGGGTGTTCAGGTTTTTTAAATGCAAAATTGAAAGAAATACGTCAAGTTGATATGACCAAATTTTGACCGTATCACCCTTTAGGATCTCTCCTACTCTGTAGGCTATGAACGATCGGTAGTTGCGTGGATCTGACCTGATATATGAAAGCGCCGTAGTGTTGTCTGTCCAAAGATAGCGTTTCGTGATTGGAATTGTATGGTTTTCCTGAACAAATTTCAGTATTCCTGTGTCGAGCAAGCCTGGGAATGGACATTGGTTTCAGAGGAGCCACCTTTGCCTTTGCTGCAAGCAAAGAACACTGTCCGTTACCTGCGGAATCCATCACGCGTAGGTACACGACGCAACAGTACGCCTGTGCATGAGCTCGTCGCTGCCTCAAAATAGCATCTCGGAATACAAACCGTTGATATAAACTGGATCATTTGCACCCATTCCCGCCAGCGATTCAGCTCATCGATGTCTCGATAAGCGTGCGTACCTCCTCGCTCATGTGCGTTGAGAAGCATAATTCGTCGGTTGCGGGCATCCACAGCATTCCGAGTACCCGCTCAGTGTGCTCCTTGTCAACCAGATGATCTTGTTTCTATCGGTTCCTGGCTCTCCCAGAAACTCCAGCACTGCATCGCTGTTGGCATTCCAATTCCTTAGAACGAAGCCACCATTGCGATGAACTAAGCGCACTTCTGCAGCAATCTGCTTGGCTTCCTCTTCATCCCCGAAGCTGTCAACATAGTCGTCGACGTAGTGGTTGTCTATTATCCGTTGAGCTGCACGAGGATACCGCTGCGAGTGCTCCTTGACTTTTAAGTTCTGTGTGAACTGCGCTGAAGCCGGTGAGCAGGTTGCTCCAAACGTAGCTACGTCCATAACGTAGACTACGGGAGGCAGAGTGGGATCGAAACGAAACGAAATATAAACCGTAACGACTGCTTATTGGATGTCTGCGCTAACTGCAATGTGGAACTGCCGGAAGCGGAATAGAACGGCAGGAAGAGCGGTCAAATGGTCGGGTAACTTCAGTAGATGACTGTTCAACAACGATCCATCCACCTTGGCAGCAGCGTCCCAGATAATGCGCACTTTTTCTGGCTTCCTCGGGATCGTGACTGCTCCCAACGGAAGATATCACACTCTTCTTGGATCTGCGCCCTCCAGCTCTTCGTTCGTCGCTACGTGCGCGTAGCCCTTCGTCACATAATCCCGAACTTGCTGTTGAACTTTCTGCTTGAAAATCGAATCTCGCTCCATACGACGTTCCAAAGGATAGCTTTCCGGTAGTTCAACGTAATCCTTCCGCCACAACAGTCCGGTTTCGTATCGGTCTCCAACTCGCCTGGTTGTTTGTTCCAGCAGCTCCTGTG